TTGTTGGCAAGCATGTTCTAAGGAGAGAGGGAACACCGTAGGGAAGAGTGTTACGTCCAATCCCTTAAGAGCCATGGTTGCAGAGAACGCCTTCAAATGGAATATTGAATTGTCAGTAGGCTTGAACTTTGGAATATCAGCAATGGAGAACTTTTCAGGGAGTCTGTCCTTCACATTCAAAGGAGTGGGAGGCCGTTCCACATAAGTGAAATCCTCAGAAATCTTACTCATTTGTTCCTTCAGTTTGTCAAGGGTGGAAAAAGTGACCTTGTTTTGTTCCATGGTAGTGACCCTAGTGGTAAGGGTTTGCATCATGGAAGACAGTGCCTCAATGGATTTGTTGATGTTCTCAATGTCTTCTTTAGTGGCCATTGAAAGGTGATGAGTAACGGAGATGACAAAGTTCTCTTTGAACGCCTATTAGATCTGAGAGATTGTTGCGGTAATGGCTCGAATTGTATTGATCTATCTCTGTTCCTTGAACAAGTACTGTGAAATAAAACAATTCACTTAATTGTTGGACTCATTACTCAAGATAGGAAAGGAAGGAAAAAATAGACATTTGAAAACAGGTGAGAAAACTCCACTCATTTTTTTATTATGACGAAAAAAGGGTGCATGAACCTAATATACGATCATAAACGACCTGGTGCACGACTCGAGTCGGAACATAAAGAAAGTGTGTGGACTATATTTGACTCGTGAGTGACTAAGTGATGTTATAAGACTCGTGGTATGATCATATGGCTAGATATGTGAACAATAACCAAAAGGACTGACGCGAGGACCAAATTAACACGGAAGACTTGACTGACGCTTTTTTTTTTTTTAAATTCCACCGTGTCACGGTGGAAATTTGCCGTGACACGGTAGGGTTTCTCGTGGCGCGGCAGCCATTCCCGTGCCACGGTAGATGCTGACGTGGCACGAGATTTTTTTTTTGATAGGAGGTGACGTGGCACGAGACACTTCTCCCGTCAGACGGGATAAATTCCCGTGTCACGACAAAAAAAATAATTTTTTTTTGACAGGGGGTGACGTGGCACGGGACACTTCTCCCGTCAGACGGGATAAATTCCCGTGTCACGGCAAAAAAAATAATTTTTTTTTTTTGACAGGGGGTGATTTGGCACGGGACACTTCTCCCGTCAGACGGGATAAAATCACGTGTCACGGCAAATTTTTTTTTTTTTTTTTTTTGAAAGGGGGTGACGTGGCACGGGACACTTCTCCCGTCAGACGGGATAAATTCACGGCAAAAAAAAAAAAAAAAAAAAATTTGAAACGTTGCTTGTTTATTTTTAAAGGGAGGATACCATCCGACTTACTCTAAAAAAAAAGACACAAAAACAAGACTTCCCTAAAATACGGTCAAAAAAGTGGTGCACGACTTAAAGCAAAAAAAGTGTGTGAACACGACATGTGAGTGATTAAGTGAGGTTATGGACGCGTGTTTTGACCGTATAGCTAGACACGACTCAAAACTGGACACAACATTCGCACAAAAATCGAGAACAAGACTGACAGGAAATGGGCACCGTGTCACGGTGCAAACTGTCGTGACACGGTGCAGTCTACAGTCAGACGGTAGACTTTCCCGTGTCACGGCACTGTTCACCGTGACACGGCAGAACATGTTGTGACACGGTGCGCAGTTCCAGGTCAGTTTTGTAATTTTTTCATATTTTAATCGATTTCAAGTCCGTACTAATTGCTATGTGAGAATAAAAACCCTCGGTCATGGGTTAAACAAAAAGAGCAAACACATGAGGGTTAGCACTAAACAACCACATAGCATTTAGGCACGATGATGTAAAAGTTCGCAACCTAGAGTCAAGATCTATGTTCAACTATTGGTCAAGCTTTGGGTGTCAAAGGGTACCATGGTTAAGAGTTTGGACGCGTTAGCAAGGCAGCCTCCCTTGAGGGTGTATGCCAACGGGCGGCTCCGCGAGTTCGTGATGAAATCAAACTCGACTCCATGGTTTGGGTGCATTTAATAACTCGGATGAACCCTTATTGCCATGAGCGTTTTGGGTCGATAGAGCTTAAATCCCCCGGGGCTTAGACGCATGTAGAACACATACGTTTTTTCAGAAAAATCGAAGGAAGTCGACTGTGAGAAAAGAAAATAGGCCACCGGACTAATTTTAGGATTGCCGTGACACGACAGAAATTCCCGTGTCACGGTACAGTGTACCGTATGACGGTACACTGTACCGTGACACGGCAGACTCTGCCGTGACACGGCAGTCAGAAAATCTAACTGATGCCCTGTTTGCTTTTGCGCACAACCAAGTTATCCAATTTTTCCTACGGGACAGACCTGAATGCGACGTCAAAACGTCTATGCAGATGCAAAAATGCCAAATTAATCACAAGAATATTTTTTCAAGAATCAATTCTCATCCACTCATCTTAATTAAATACCGATCACTCAAATCGATAAATAATTAAGAATCCTTCCCAGTGGAGTCGCCAAATTGTAGGCGTCGCTCGAAGTGCGCCTACGTTAAAAAGCATGTTGTGGATATGCTTGGCACTCATAGGAAGTGGGAATTGACATTACAATTAGGGACAAATAAAGTAGGGAGCCGCCAACAAGTTTTTAAGGAACTTGTAAACCGTTCACGGATCATAAAAGGCAACCACGAATAAGGGACAACGAAGGCAACAACGATTGACCCGTGAAGGTTACACCCCATTCATAATCCATGAGATTACTAACTCCATATGGTTCGGAACCACGAAAGGAGGATCGGGGATTATGGTACGAAGTGAGTCATGGAGTCACATTCGCCCGTATTGGCCTCTACTCGATTCTTATATTGAAAAGCATTCCTGTGATCTCATAGGCATACAAACAATAATTCAATTTGCTCCAAACTATTATTTAGCTAAATTGGTTTAAGATTAATGCACACATAATTCTAAAAATTTGGTGATCACTTCAATTAATAATAAGATTAAAAAGGATCCTAAACCGGTCGTCCAAATTATCTTATTAGTCGTGATTTTCAATTACATATTCCCTTTATACATGCAATATGGTGATCATAATAAAAACAATAACAGAATCAACATTAATACCAATTTAATCACAATCCCAACAACATAAAATTGTTAGAAAAATAATAATAACAATAAAAGAGCATGATCCTTACTTTGAATCTGTTTGCTTGCAATCTGTTTGCTTGCAACTACAAAATAATAAACGAGTTAGTAACTTCAAGGAAATAATAAAACAATAATTAAATTAAATTAAATTAAACTAAAGTTGATTTTGGGGCCAAACCCTCAAACGATTCTACCTTTCACGCCTTGGCTTAAGGACAGAACCTCGAGTAAAATATGGACTCCTTTGAGTGCTTGAAGAAGGAATTTTGAAGTGAAAAGGGTAGGCTAGTGTTTAGGTTAATAGCATAGAGGAGAGAAAATAAGAATAATAAAATTCTGGTTGCCCCGTACATCAGAAATGAGGGGGTATTTATAGGGAAATGTGCGGAGGGAGCACACGGAACCCTAAAATGATAAAAACCCTAAAAAAAGTATCCCGTGACACGGTCAGACTGTACCGTGACACGGTTAGACAATACCGTCAGACGGTACACATTCCCGTGACACGGTACAGTTTTGGAGTGACGCGGGAAATTTTCAGAAAACGGAACGGAAAACGCGTTAAGGGTTTACGCGGAAAGGACACGGAACTTCCCGTGTCACGGTAGACCTCCCGTGTCACGGGAAGTCCCACCGTCAGACGGGAATGGTTCCCGTGACACGGTCAGGCTGTACCGTGACACGGTTAGTTCTAGTCCATTTTTCCGTCTAAATTCATTTTTAACCCTAATTTCTTTCGGCTTTTTAAGTGCCGATTGATAATTTCGGGCTTTTTCCTGACTTTTATTATTCGGGCTAAAATAAGAAAATAATGAAATAAAATAAATAAAATATTTGGGCCAAAAATAAATAATAAAATAATAAAATAAAAAGGTTTAGGCTTAAAATTAATTAAAACTATGCTTTTACCAAACATCAAGACTAATCCATGGACCTTTCAAAGGTATGAATTTAATAAAATACGATTTTTTAAGCACTCTCGGGATTAAATACTAAACTCGACCAATAGAGGCGGTGAAAGGTTATTTATCATCGGGTTTGGTTTTGGGGAGACATTTTTAGGTGTCTACACCTACCAATAATGGCGGTTAAAGGTGTTCATCAACGGGTTTGGTTTTGGGGAGACATTTTTAGGTGTTTACAGTGGTAATAAGAGGGGCCCCCCCTTAAACGGCGCCATTTTGATGGGCGTTAGAACGGTCGCACATTCCACACTCAATCAAACACATTTGTTAGCAAACACCTTACAAACCAAGCATAATGATAAGTAAGAGTTCGGTCCACAAGGAACGGGATATGATTGCTAAAGATCTTAACACTTAAGCTAATTCGAAGTCTATGGTCAATTGGGGTTCGTCAAGTAGACAAACAAACTATGATTCTTTATTAATTTCACAATTTATTAGATGCTGATTAAATTATTCGTACATATTACACACAAATAAGCTAAATAATACTGTTAAAATCGTAAATAATATTTAAATTGTGCATCGCACGAGCCTAATATAGTAAATAAACATTTATTACACCGTTTTACTCGTCAATCATCGATCAATTCTCAACTTATTACTAAAAAAAAAGTATATTACTAACGATAAATACAAGTAAATATGTAAGATATACAAAATTTGTTTATCACATGACAATTTTGTAAATAAATCAATAACTTTTTCAATAAAAGCGGATCCACAATAATGGTGACTGGATAAAATTGTTGATTTATTTACCAAAATATCATGTCGCAAAAATTAATTAGGACTTCCTCTGTTATTAAATATAGATTTATTTACCAAAATACCATGTCGCAGAAATTAATTAGGACTTCCTCTGTTATTAAATATTTATATGCAGCCATTATTACCCATAATATAATCGTTCAACAAACCCCCTTGAAATTGCATGGGAAATTTAAGAGGGTGTAGTCACTTCAAAAAAAAAAAAAAAAAAAGTTTTTATACGTCAAACTTTCAAAACAGAATTATATTTTATTTGTTTGTTTCTAAAAGCTGTCTATCCATTTCCTTAGCGTACACAGCTTACTCAACAAAATAAAGTAAGATAAAGATACTACAATTGGTACTCTGGTCTACAGTCTACTCTACTATTCATTTTTTTACACATAATCCAGTTCAACACCCAATAAAAAACCTAGAAATAATTACATTAAAAAAAAAAAAGATAATCCCAAAAAAAAAAAAAAAAAAAAAAAAGATGATGAAAAAAATGGTGCTTTGCTTTGGCAAATTTGATGCAGCAGAGAGTTTCAGAGCAGCTTCTCTTTCACTTTCTTTGTTTATTTGTTGATTCTCTCTCTAAATTCTCACCTTTCACTCTTTCTCTCTCTAACTTTCTAACCCTTTTACTTTCTTTCCAGCTCTTTTCAAGCTATCAACTAAGCTTTCTCTTTCATTCTGCCGTTTTTTCTTTCTCTTACTTTCTCTCTCTTCATTGATGCACTCATTTCATAGCTTTCAGCTATTATTTCAGTTAGACAGGGAAAACAACATACCAAAACATTCTCTGGATAGTTGAGAATCTGCATTTTTATCACTGATTTTTACTTGGTATGTCCACTTGATTTGTTTTCTCTCTCTAGAAATTTTTTTATTTTTACTTTCTCTCTCTAGATTATCTTGCTTGTTGTTTGTCTTTTTGATTATTTTGTTGAATTTTTATAATGGTGGGTTTTTTTCCTTTTGAATTTTTGAAGGTGGGGTTGGTTTATTTTGATTGTTTGTATATTGTACGGTTTGATCTGTATTTTCTGTAACAATTTTTGGAGTGTGTCAATTTGAAAATATAAGAGAATTACTAAAATAATTTTCTGGGGTTGTTGAATTTGATAATCTATTGATAAATTTAGGTGTATTAGTTTGATGCTTTATCAAGATAACGTTAGAATTTAATTTGCTGGAATTATGACAGTTGAGGCAGTATTTTTATGCTTATTGTGTTACCTTGAATTTACAGATTAAAAGTTGGTGCTGCGTTTTAGTTAGATTCGTAGATTTGAGAGATTGAAGTGGGTTATCAAAGAGGTTGAGCATTGGATGAATGGGTTGGAAGATACGTATGAAGAACTGCCCAGGTGTAAAGATCTGGGTTGAAGTTTGTTTTGTTTTCGTGTTCGTTTTTTTGCTGCATTTTGCAAATGGGTCAACAAATCCCACTGATGGTAAGTGTTATCCTCGCAATTTAGTTCATCTATCAATTTCGATGGTTTTCTTGGCGTTTTTCTATGTTGTGAAACCAAGTGCATTGAATTGTTTGGAGTGTATGTTTGTTAATGCTGCTTATAGCATGGGATAAGTTGGTAGGTGGTCAATTTTAATTTGCATTAAAGGGGAACTAAAGTAGTATTCAATTTCGAAAATTCGAACTAAACCAGGGTGCTTCTCTTGTACAAAGTAACATATTGTTCATGGTAATCATTATACTACCTCCGTTTATTTTTATGTGCAACTTTGAGTGATAATACGGTTCACGAGGCAAAAGATTGAAGAGTAAATATTAGGAGAAGTTAGTGGGTTTAATTAAAAAGCAAGGAGAGAGAAAGTGTGGACCACACTTTTTGTTTGTGGTGGGAAAGTTTGGCAGAAAAAACCAAAGCATAATTTCCCACCCAAAACCCACCGAAAATTTGGGGTGAAATTTTACTTTCCCCCTCCTTTTTTAAAAATTTCATACCAAAGTCAAATTTTCCCAAAAAATTTAGGAGGCTATAAATACAGCCATGCCCCCATTTAATGTCACCATTCATTCAAGCATTTAAGGAGGGAATAAATCATCCTCCATTGTCAGGCATTAATTACAATCAACATTGTTTAAAGGTGGGTGAAACATTCCACCAAAAACACAGTTTCATCCACAAAAGCTTATCAAATCCTAGGTTAGAATAATTACACACTAACTACTCCTTAAAACTTTACAAAAAACAGGGGTGCTCTGTTGTCCTTCATGCACAGGTGGGTGTAGTCTTCATCTTCAACCCACACAACTCAGCAGGGCCCTGACTTCATCCTCCCTGTGCTGGAAAAGAGGAATGGCAGAAATTGATGACTCTGTTTTTTTTGATATTGAACACATTCTCAATGAAGAAGAGCTAGCAGAGCTGTGGTTCGAGGAAGAAGAAGAAATGCAGGATGCAGGAATATGGGAGTACAACTCAGAAGATGAAATGCAGGATGGCAACCAAGAAGAACAGCAACAGCAGCCACAGACAGAAACTAATGTTCTCAACACACAAATGCAACAGCAAGGTCATGAAGGGACTGGTCTTGTATGCAGAAAACAATTAACTTTGCAGCAAAGAAGAAAGATGATTGTTGATGCAATTTTGCTGAAAATGAGCAATGGGACTTTACCAAGGGGTCACATGAAGCAATTAGCATCTGAATTTAATGTCCACAAATCAACAATCACAAGAATCTTTTCAGACATAAAAAAACAGCTGGCAACAGGGGACTTGATTGATGTCAGGACCAAAAAATTTGGCAAAACAGGGAGAAAGCCAATGGAGATTTCTGATGAAACTCTCCAGTCAGTCCCATTACATTTAAGGCAGACAGAAAGAAGCTATGCAGGAGCATTGAAGATCAGTCTAACTACAGTTCACAATTTGAAGAAAAGAGGCAGGCTAAGAACACACACATGCTGCAACAAACCATTGCTCACATCAGACCACAAGGTTGCCAGACTAAGATGGATTTTGTCACATATAAATCCAATTACAGGGAATGAGGACCCCACATTTGTTGACATGAGGAATGTCATACACTGTGATGAAAAGTGGTTCTACTTGAACCCTGACAAAAGGAGGTTCTACCTACTGCCATGTGAGGAGGATCCCTATATGGCAGTTCAGTCAAGAAGATTCAAACTAAAGGCAATGTTCATGGCAATCATAGGGAAGCCATTATATGGCATAAATGGGGAACTTTTACATGATGGAAAGTATGGCATCTTTCCATTCACTGTCCAGCAAGTAGCACAGAAAGCAAGCAAGAAAAGACCAAGAGGGACCATGGAAACCAAGGCACTCCAGAACATAAACAGAGAAGTAATCAGAGAGATGCTGCTAACAAAGGTTATTCCAGCAATCATATCAAAGTGGCCTGAAGGTCTGCCCAAGGATGTGGTCATCCAATGGGACAATGCAAGGCCACACCAAGTTCCTACAGATGATGAGTTTGTGGCAGCAACAACAGCTAATGGCTTTAACATTCAATTTGTTTTCCAGCCAGCACAGTCTCCTGATTTGAATGTCCTTGACTTAGGGCTATTTAGGTCTATACAATCATTGCAATATCAGTCTTTTCCTAGGGACTTAGAGGAGCTAATTCAAAAGGTCAAACAGTCTTATGACACTTTCAACCCTCATGTAAACAAGTACATCTGGGTTACATTGCAAAAGTGTATGATTAAGATACTCAAGGCAGAAGGTGGTAACAAGTACAAAATACCACATATGAACAAAAAAAAGCTGGAAAACCTAGGTAGTCTTCCAGATTTGGTAGAGGTTCAGAAAGAGGATGTATTGGAGGCTGTGGAGTACCTAAACACCATGTTTAGGCCAGCAAATCAAGGCACTCAAGAAGACACAGAAGATTTGGAGGTGGATGCAGATTAGGGGAGTCTTTACAACAACCAGACAACACATGGACTGCCACACATAACCACTTATCATAGTAAGTTTTATTGGTTTTTTTTTTCCCAAAAACATTTTGAGCAATCCAGTGGTTAGGTGTATTTTGTTGATTACAATTACCCAAACAAGTCAGGCAGTCTGAAGTATAGTCATTAGATTATCATACATATGGTCTTTTGTAAAGTTTTATGTACTAGTATTTTGTACCCACATTTTTAGTTGATTATGAATGACAAAGATAAACAATTTATGTGGGCACTAAATCCATCAGAGGGTTATAATGTTGAATACTACACATATGCACAAGGGTACCTCAACAACAACAACAACTTTCATGTTGATGGAGCAAATCACCTGTGCATATTGAAATTCATTGGAGTCCCTTCATCATGTGGATATGGGTAAGCTAAATAGCATATCAAAGTAGGGGACTCTTTAATAAACAAGAAACAGAAGGCAACATCATGGGACTCCTTTTAAGGGACTGACTAGGCAACAATGAACATGCACAAGACACCAGCCTCATCATTCATCAATCAAGTCCACACAGCCAGCAATAAAGACAACATGCAACCAGATGTATCAACACACACATGCAACCAGCAATAAATCTCCCAGATGTAACATAACCAACAACCCAACATTACACAGCAAACCCTAGTATCCAGCCTACATCAACACAAACATACAAATAAACCCTAACATTTAACATAATCAACAACCCAACAATAAACAACAACGAGTCAAAGTTACCCATAACAGCAAACCCTTAGCAGCCAGAGTAGATCAACACAACCAACACCCCATCATGAAACCACAACCAGTCAAACAATCCCGCAATAAACAGTGAAACCCTAGTTTCAGCCATAGATCCACCGGCACAAAAATTAGGACTCTTTTAAATTTTAAAAAATTTAAAAAAATTAGGAATAGGAATCGTTACGCAAAGGTCAGTGCTCAGCCTCCTCATCAGAGGACAGCACCACGAGGTCGGACTCCGGCAAATCAGGCAACCCGCGCAAACGCCTCATCGCCACCACCGCAGCCTTCCTCTTTCGCCAAAGCTTCGGAGGAGGCCTGGAAACCTTAGATCCGCGCTTGGGGGTGGGGGAGGGCGCAACACTGACCTCAAAATCGGACTCCAGATCTACATCTTTAACCTGAAAATCAATTTTTTTTTTGGCATGGGACTCGCCTTCACCCTCCTCTTTGTTCGTCTTCTCCCCCTCGTCGATATTTTTCAGGACTTCCCCCAAAGCTTTGAAAGTCGTCGAAGAACAGCAACTAGGGCCTTCCTCAGAGTTGTAAAGGCGGCGAGGAAAATCATTGCCCCTGTTGATGTCGTTAATGAGGGACTTGATGAACCGAGCCTCACTCTGTGAATCTGTGCCAATATAGGCGTCAACAAGTGGATCTAGGTCATGTAACGGAATTGTGAAGTCTGGATGCCTCTCGAAAGGGGAGGGAAAGGGGGAAGACATAATTGTGGGACTCTGAATTCTTCAGGAAAAGGGCGAACGAAACGAAGAAGACGAAGAACAGGAACCCTAGAACACGAAGAACAGGAAAACAAAGAAACTGATCTAGGGTTCTATAGAATTCTCTAGATCAGTTTAGAAAAGGTGGTTGGGAAGATGTAGAGTTGTGTCGGTTGGGGGGTAAATTGGAGGGAGTAATTAGGTTAGGTTAATTTAGGTGTGTTAAATTAAGTTAGGGTTTTGGATAATGAGGGGTAAAAGTAAGATGATTAAATTTTTTAAGTGGGGGTAATATAGTAAATTCAAGGGTTTTTATTTACCAAAAACAGAATGAAAAAGGAAAGTTGCACATAATAGTGAACGGACTAAAATGGCAAAAGTTGCACATAAAAATAAACGGAGGTAGTATTTGGTTCCACAGGACTAATTCCCTAAGGTGTATATGTGTAATTGAATTTTATCAACTTTCCTAAGGAATTCACTCAACTTTTTTTTTCTTTTTTAATTTATTAATTTTCTTATACCACAATTGTTCATAAAATAGTTCGATATTGTCCACAGAATAGCTTAAAAAGACCAGAAAGATTTTCTTCTAGATTTCCTGAATGTACGTATGAGGTCCACAACAGCACTAATAAATATTGGCGTGAAAAATGGCATTTGTGGATAATAAAGCTCTATGGCACTGGCTAGTGGCTACTACCTTGGGGTTGAGGTGGTTACCTAGGCTAATCGAGTAAATTGCTCAGTTTGATATCTTTTCTTTGTCCTGTAAGCTTTCTACTAGATAGTTTATTGAGGTGTACATTGTGCTATGCATTGCAGTATTATGCTCATCAACAATCATAAATTTCTGCAAGTATATATTGTCCTGATGTCTGCTGCTTTTTTTCTTTTTTGATGTAATATTTGAATTCTAATGTCTATGCATTTGAGTCTTTATTTTGAATGCTGAATGAATGTGAATGTGTCTAATTTAAAGTTACAATATGTTGTTTCAACATAGTTGCTGCAATTAACAGCTTATATGCTGCTTTGGGTTCTCCAAATCTCCCTGGATGGGTTGCTGCTGCGGGAGATCCATGTGGTGATGCTTGGCAAGGCGTCCAGTGTGATGCTTCAAACATAAATTCAATGTAAAAACAATTCTTCTTTGCTCCAAATATACATTATATAAAGAATGTCGCCTCCTCAGTTTTGGTAATTGTACTCTGAATATCTTCTTTACAGAAGTCTTGTTGGAGCCGATTTGGGTGGTGAATTGGGTGACAGCATAGGATTATTCACATCTATTAAATCAATGTAAGATCTCTCTCTTTGTTGTATGGACATGTAACTTGATCCTGTTAAAGACTCCATGTTCGTTTCTAGGTGATTTTAAAAAAAAATTCCAAGTCTTGGAGTAATTTTTGCCGAGCTTTCATTTCCACAAGTTGCATAAAATAATCATCCTGTTTACCAAATACCAATAGTTATTTGTAGAATTTTCCAAATATTTGTGAGCTTCGTCTTTTGTTTCTTATGCTTTCGTGATAAAATATGATCGGTGTCTCCTCAAATTTGAACTGCATATGTTCCAAATATTGCCATTTTGCTGTGTTGTGTTAAGTTGTATCTTTTTTTTTGAGCTGCTCATGCCATGATAGCTACTTTTCTTTTACAGTGATCTGAGCAACAATCATATTGGTGGAAGTGTTCCTTCCAGTTTGCCAGCTTCCTTGGTCACATTGTAAGTGCACATCAAAATATCTTAAATACGTACCGTGTGATGCAAAATAACTGATAGTCTTTACCTTGCCAGTTTACTTTCAAGTAATAATCTAACTGGAAAGATCCCGAGCACTATATCCGCTCTTCCTGCTCTTGCTACATTGTAAGCTCTTTTTATTACTCCTTTTTTGTTTGGGAATTTTATACTCTCCTGGAGGTATCTTTATCGATTTGCTTAGAATATTATGTTTTATAGGAAACTTAATGCCAACCATCTTACTGGAGAACTACCAGATGGCTTTCAATCTCCTTCAGCTTTGACCAGCATGTAAATAATCTGATTCGACTAGCTTTTAATTCCACTCTTGCAATCATGATTGAGGATTGAAATGCTTTTTTTCTACAGAGATTTGGGTCAAAATAGTTTGAGTGGAGAGCTGCCTCCTTCGATGGAGAATTTATCTTCTCTGGTTAGCCTGTGAGTTCTCCCTCTCCTTTAAGCTCTAAATTCATTATTCATCTGCAATTTTATGTGGTGAAACCAGCTCTGTTTATGCAGGCACTTGCAAGACAATCAGCTGTCCGGGACACTTGATGTTCTTCAGGATCTTCCCCTGCAAGATTTGTACTCTTCTATTTACTCTCTTTGAAACAAAATTTAACATGAATACTTCCTCTTCGTTTCAAATTTCTAATTTGCTTTGTTGATAGTTGACTCGATCATTTTTTTCCCTCTTTGATTAGGGATATAGCAAACAACCAATTCTCTGGACCTATACCTGACAAGTTGTTGAGTATTCCAAGCTTCAAGTGAGAGCTCTATTGCTAGTATTTTCTGTTTAGCAATTTTTTTTTCTTGTATTTACAATTTTTTTTTTTTCATCTATGTTGGCTATGTTGGTGTATCTTGCAAATGTTGTGGTAGCATAACATGCTATGTAGTATACAGCTAAAGTCACCATTGAGTTTGAGTTCTGCTATCTTTTTTTGTAGTAAGATTGTTGCTCAAAAATTTGAAAGTCTATAGATGATAAGTTTTGAAAAATGTGAATCTTTCTTAGTGATGGGCCTCACTACTTTATAGGACTGTCGTCCCTTTTGTGATGAAGTACTGAAAAGACCACTCTATGTGAAATAGTGAATAGCATGTTAACCTCTTTTATTTAATTTTTCAGTCAATAATTAGCATCTCTTGTTCGTTCACTATTTATAGCAGATCGTGACTATTTTTGCAATGATATATTATGGTAATCTATAACACAGCAAGTATTTTCCACTCATGTATACTAGGACTTTCTCGCCTAATCATGCTAGTGTTATACTATTTATGCAGGAGGGATGGGAATCTTTTTAACACCTCTGTCTCTCCAGCGTCATCACCAACAGCTTCCCCTGTGACGCCTTCACCTTTTTTTCCAGGGGCACCAACTCAGGCCCCACCTCGTTCAGGCACAACATCTCCCAGTTCTGGCACAACTTCCTCCAATTCTAGCACTTCTCCCGGCTCTGGCATTATTTCTTCCAACCCTAGCTCAACTTCTGGTTCTGGACAGAGGCCTGGAACTCGCACAGCTCCATCGTCTACTCATGAGGATCCAAATACTGAAAAGAAAACACAGGCCTCAAAAACGAAAAGGATTGTTGGGATATCAATTGCTTCGGTGATTGGGTTTATTATTATGGTTTTGGCACTTTTACTGTGCTTGCCATGGTGTTTTAGCAGAAGTAAAGACTATTTTCGAACTACAAAGAGACATGAAATCCGACCATATATGGGTCCAAGAGATTACCCTCACAACAATCCCCCATCACGTCTACCTTACAATCAGCCTGAGAAAGGTAAGCCTACATTTGTTGAATGTTTCTATCTATCTATTATCTTAGAGAATGACATACTGCTCTAATTGAGTTGCTAGCTACAATGTTGCATTACTCTTATCAGCGAATTCTGAAATTATGTGGTCAGCTCCAAAAGATGCTGTTGTGGAAATTAAAGATGGGCCGCGAGCAGAAGTTAGGACTACTGCTGCAATTGCAAAACAGCGTAGTGAAGAGGGACTTTATTCTCAAAGATCTACAGTCCCGGTAAGGAAGCTTGACAGTGATATGAGCTTTAGTGACATTGATTTTATGATCAATCCCCCACCACCTCCGCCTCCTCCTCCACCACCACCACCACCACCACCTCTTCCATTTTCCACTGAGAGACTTATTGTGAAACCCATCACGCCAACAGGATCTGTTGCTGCAAAGACTTCCTCTAGGCCTCTTCCCATGACATCAGTGAAATCTTTCACAATTGCTTCACTTCAGCAGTATACTAACAGCTTTTCGCAAGATAATCTCTTAGGAAATGGCATGCTAGGAACTGTATATCGGGCAGAGCTCCCTAATGGAAAGGTATGATTTTCTACTATGAGCTAAGTAGCGTTTATATTTTTTATGCTCTAGATTTTATCTTGGAAATTGGAAGTCTGAAGAAGGGCCTTTGCTCTGATTTTCTGTTAACAATGGTCATATTACTAGTCTAGCTTTTGTTTTGAGTCTTAACTCTCTTTGTTATATATTGAGTGCATGACTTGGTGTGAATACTAGTTGTGAGTCTTGTGACAGATTATGATAGACTGTAGGTGGAATAAGTTTCATACCTGATGTTGCATTGTAATGTACAAAATCTGTTATATCATGTCAGTCCATCTATGATGATGGCTTAGTCTTAAGAGAATCTTTGAGGATGGATTGAGCTAGTAAATGCAGCAAAACTAGTTGGCTATTTTATAGGTACATGCATGTGCTTGTATGTATTGTGGAGCTTGTGGAGGGTTATGGGAGGGTTTACCATGTATGTCTGTGAGCAGTGGCAGAGCCACATTGAAGCAAGTGGGTTTAATTGAACCGACTTTGAGTAAAATCATTTTTCTTTGTGTGAACATATGTGTCAATACTTAAACAATCAACCAAACAAACCTACTTGATAATATTTGAACCAACTTATCAATATATCTGGCCTGCCACGGCTGTGAGATGGGTGGGACGGTGGTGCTCAGTTAATCAGCTTGTCTAAATTTCTCATACAAATATTTTTAACGTGGTATCTGTGGTTTGATATGCAGCTATTGGCAGTCAAGAAACTTGACAAGGGTGTCTCTAGTCGTCTGAAAGACCACGAATTTCTTGAGCTTGTAAATAACATTGATAAAATTCGACATGTAAATGTTGTGGAACTGGTGGGCTACTGTTCAGAGCACAGTCAGCGGCTCTTGATTTACGAGTATTGTAGTAATGGGTCTCTACAGGATGCACTGCACTCAGATGATGAATACATGAAGAAGCTTTCTTGGAACATTCGCATGCAGATGGCACTCGGAGCTGCAAGAGCACTGGAGTAAGTCGATTTTTCTCTGCAATTGGCTATATATGGTCTCAAATTTTTGGATTTATTGGTCATAATTATAATGCAGCATTTAGGCAAATACTCCCTTCTTCCCTTACATTTTTTTGCCGAATTTGCTTATTTTGCGGTCACCAAAAACATACCATTAATAATGTCTTCAAAATTTGTGTACACCCGGTTTACAACAATATTAGAGTACATTGAACAAAATTGGGTAACTTTTAGCCAATTTGGGGTAACATTAAACCTACTTTGGGGTATTCTCAAATCTGATATGATTTTAATATACAGGCCATGGGATAAAATCTATTGATGTAGTATACTTACCTTCACACACTAAGATTTGATTTTTACTCCTTTAAAGAGAAAAATTATATTTCGTATCAATAAACATTGGCAACTTTTATTGAAATTGAGGTAACCTTTGATCACTTTATAATAACTTTATAACCAATATGCAATAATTATTGGATCTTGCTAACAAGCATCCCGTGGCTTTTGATAACCAATTAATACTCCCTCTGTCCCACATTATAGTTCCTATTTTCCTATTTTGGAGTCCCAAAATGTTGTTTTTGTTTATAATTTTTGATATTATGTAAATATCATTGTACCCTTCATTTTTTTTTTACTTTATTCATTGTACATCCTAAATACTCTTGAATTTTCCACTTTCTCTCACTAACTTTTGTCTATAATTGTACTTTTTCACTTTTTAATGTACTTTATCCACTTTCTCCTCCTATTTTTTAAATTACGTGAAAAAATACAAATAAGAATTATAAACTGGGATGGAGGTAGTATATTACTTAAAATAGTATTAAGTTCGGAATGCATGACAAAATCACTAGTCAATCGGTGTAATTAATGTTAATTGTACTTTAATATTTCCGCATTTAGTTCTCTTACCTAACGCCCTCGGGGAGCTCGTTAGCTCTTTCCATAATTATTTACCACAATATTTTCCCCGGTACAAGAAAAATATCTTTGATTATGTATCATTTTGCGGCTCTTGATTTACGTATTATACACAAAATCATCACTTTGCTTTGGTGTGATAATTGAAGCTTTATTTTGTAGGGTTTATCTGAGCCCTTCTTTTAGTATCCACTTTGGAGCATTCTCCATGTTTGGTTATGGATGATTCTTCTTCTTCTTCTTATTATTATTATTATTATTAATCCAGGTATCTGCATGAGGTCTGTGAACCACCTGTTGTACACAGAAACTTCAAATCTGGAAACCTTCTTCTTGATGATGAACTGCAAGTGCGGGTCTCTGATTGTGGCTTGGCAACTTTGATAGCATCTGGTTCTGTTAGCCAGGTAAGAAAATACAGTGAAAATCATCTACATTATTCATATGGGCATTTTGCTTTTGGTTATGTGATTAAGAATCCCTCCTCTATTGATGATTGTAAACTAGACCATGATATTCACATCCTTGTAAAAACCTTTCAAAGATGCTTGAGGACATTTTTCTGCTTCTTGCAGAGCTTAGTCTATACTACCTCCGTTTTTTTTAGTTGACACGTTTTGGCTTTAGCACTATTCACACCTCTCTTTGACCGTGTTTTGTGATTTAAATGAAAAATAATCAAGTGGGGTCTTATTAGATTTGTCGTGGGATATATTTTCAAAATATCAACTTTTTATAATTTTTGCTTTTCGGTAATTTAATATATCAACAATTGAAGTTGTGCATTGGCAAACGTGGCTAAAGAAACTTGTCAACTAAAAAGAAACAGAGAAAGTATAATTTATGGATGGGCAATATTGTTAGAATCTTTGTTTTTTGTTAACTTCCATAAGAAATTGCAATGTTGTATGCTCAATCCTTTCAAAAACTCCCTTTGCCACCTTGAATTTTTGTAAAAGGAAGCCAACTTCTTTTACATCAAATTTGAACTAGCTGTCATCTATGTGGTGTAACAAAATTTTAATTTATCCAAGTTAAGTTTCATGGCTCTTATCTATTGAGAATAAGACTGTATGACTTTATGTTGAAAGTGCTGAGTATAGTATGAGTTGTTAATCGTCCCATTTGATAATGTTATAAAAGAAGGATTCTTGTGGCCGATGGCAATTGGTTTTGTAAGAACCTTGTTATGAATATTTTTTTCTTGGGAAATTTCTATGTGGTGTAACCAAATTTTAATTTCCCAAGTTATGTTTAATGGCTCTTATCTATTGTCCATGAGAATAAGACTGTATGTAGAAAGGGCTAAATATAGTTTGAGTTGTTAATTGCGCCATTTGATAATGTTATCTTTATATCTTAATCATTTATACAAGTTGGATTCTTGTGGTCGATGGCAATTGGTGTTGTAAGAACCTCGTTATGAATTTTTTTTTTCTTGGGAAATTATTGAGGGATTTGATGTTGGCTTTGGAAAACATAACTTTGGGGTGCATTTGGCCAGTTGCTGCAGTTTATATTTAATTTCTTGTGCAAATGGACATATTAGTTCCGTTTTTGGGGTATGGAAGAGCTAATCTCTATTGCCTGTGTGCACACTATGAAACAAAAGGAAAGAGACTGAAATTCTGGAGCTAGTATATTAAGAATTGAAGATTTCCAACCACCAAAACAATCTCTAATGAATACTATTTAGGAAAGAAACCCATCTATGAAGGGACCCTTAAGAACTGTCAGATCATAGAATAAAAGTCTTTCATGTCCATGTTTCTATTGAATTTACTCTTGAAGTGGATTCTAAAATGTTAGTTAGTCTTCAAAAATCATAAATTATCACTAGAAGCTAGCTATTCATAGCTATGTAACCGTCATAAAGAAGAAACGAGAGAGTTTATTTGGATAGGGAGGCGGCACAGGCAATGGTGTTAAGTAGTGGTGGTCATTTGTATCTGGTTCTCCAGTTTCTCCCCTCTGCAGTTGTTGGTCTCTAGGCTCAGCCATGCTATTGTGCATCGACACATATGCCCTTTTTTTCATCTTTGCATCCCTTTGTGTTCACAATTCATAGTCAAAGAACTTGACCATGGACCATAATGGATATTCTTCAACATTGTCTACTGGACCTTGATTCTTCAACATTGTCTAGTGGTGGTCATTTGTATCTGGTTCTCCAGTTTCTCCCCTCTGCAGCTGTTGGTCTCTAGGCTCAGCCATGCTATTGTGCATGGATATTTATGCCCTTTTTTTCATCTTTGCATCCCTTTGTGTTCACAATTCATAGTCAAAGAACTTGACCAGGACCATAATGGAAATTCTTCAACATTGTCTACTGGACCTGGATTCTCATACGCTCTTGTTTCTGCTCCTTTCTCCAACATAGAAAGCTTTCACTTCCATGGACACTCCTCTGTAGCTGCCCACACCATGCTTTATAAATTGTTATCACAACCGGCCAACCGGGGGGGGGGGTGTAAGTGAGTGGATGGCGGAAATCTAGTTCATTTTCTTTCCTGCTGAACCATTTATTTTTTGGAAATTTGTTAGAAAAACCTTTTAAAGCAACTTATTTGTTAGGAAAAACCTTACAAAATTTTTTTGGCAATTGAAAACCTTATTGTAAATTTTTTTTGTTGAAGACAAGCAAGGACCTCTAATTCACTTAAGTAATCTCTAATTTCTCTAAATTTTTCTTATTACCCTATAGGCTATAACTTTCACTTAACTATTTAATAATTAAATTAAAAAAAAAAACAATAAAAAACCACCAGCCAGCCTACCACCTCCTCCCTTTCCCTCTCCCGTGGCAGCAGACCCCCTTCCCCTTCCGAGCTGCTGCTCCTCCACCGGCTGGCCCCTCTCCCTTTCCCCCTCACTCCTGCTCTAACCAGTAACCACCCACCCCCAATTCAAAATTACAAACCCAGAAATTTAAAACAACCAAACCTAAAAATAACTGAAGCGAGGTGTTATGGCAGAAGGAGATCACATTCCAAATAATAAAGGCGGCAACAATGGTGGAAAGAGAAAGCGATGCAAGGAGTATTTTTAATTTCAGTGAGGGTAAAAAGGAAAGTCCAAAACCAATTATAATCAGAAAGTTTAGAATAAAAATGGAAGTTCTTGGGATTGAAATTATGAAATGTAATAATGTGTAGTTGCATCTAAAGAGGAAGAACAGGAGTTGACAATCATCACTATTACAGCCTTTCTCTCTCTTTAATTTTTCTATTTTTTTTGGCATTTTTGGGTGTTATTTTTGTTCCTGGGTACTTTGTTTTCTGGAAAACTGCCAGTGGTTTTCAGTAGGACTGTCGGTGTTAGGGTTCTGAGACGCGTGGGTGGTCGCGGCAAGGGTAAAGGGGAAAGGGAGTGAGGTCGGTTAGGTGGTGGAGGTTGGCCACCAAGGGTGGGAGGGTTCTAGGTGGCGGCTCGGATGGGGGAGAGGGGCTGCTGCCACGAGAAGGGATGGCTGGCTAGTGGTGGCTGGTGGGTGGGGGGGTGGTTTTTGTTTTGTTTTTTTTTTTAAATTTATAAAAAATTTAATTAATAAATAGTTAAGTGTGAGTTATGGGTAATTAGAAGAAATAATGGGAAATTAGAGGTTTATTGAGTGAATTAGTGGTCTTGGCTGTCTTCAACAAAAAAATTTTACAATCTAGTTTCAAGTTGCCAAATTTATTTATTTATTTTTTTTTCAGGTTTAATTTGTATTTTGTTTTCTCTCTTTGACTTTTGTGGGGAATTTTCGCATCAAGTAGCCAATCTTCTCTTTATTACTCCACATGATATTTAGAGGGGAGTATATTTTGTATCCTCTTTATCTTAAACTTTATAAAGATGCACTAGGTTGTTATTTATTGAATAAGCACTGGTAAAATTTTGGTTTTTTAAATATAGAAGTCTTTGTAAGAAGACACATCGTTTATTTTGATTGGCTTTTAAGAAAGAACTTCTACAGTATAAAATATGGAATTTACTTTGGTCTTGTACTCAACTGCTTTTGTTTACTTTCAGTTGTCAGGACACTTGTTATCAGCTTATGGTTATGGTGCTCCAGAATTCGAGTCAGGAATTTATACTTCCCAAAGTGATGTTTACAGCTTTGGAGTGGTTATGTTAGAACTATTGACAGGTCGAATGTCTTATGACAGGTAAGAGAAGCCATTGCTCCAAAACATAGTTTAATTCACATAGCTGTTTTTCTGTAAAAATATAGTGTTTAATGAAAAAATCATCTCCAGGACACGGGTTCGTGGGGAACAATTTTTGGTGAGGTGGGCAGTTCCTCAGCTACATGATATTGATGCTTTGCAGAGAATGGTTGATCCTTCTCTGAATAGGCAGTATCCAGCTAAATCCTTATCACACTTTGCTGACATTATTTCACGCTGTGTTCAGGTGACTAAGATTCCTTGGCCTTGCTCATAAGTTCAAGTTGTTAGCTCTTTTTATTTAGTTTTTTTTTATTTATTTTATTTTATTTTTAAGCAAGAGTCAGGATAAGCATTCTTTCTACGTATCATATCCTGATATGTGTAAAGCAAATTGTTAGAATCTGCCCGTTGAATTTTGAAAAAAAGTGTTTGCGAGCATTTACAGTTCAAATATGTATATATTGACTGCACATACAAATACACGGCATACACCATGATCAGTTTTAGCTATATCATGTTCCATATAACCCTCACACCCCCTTCCCCCCCCCCCCAAAAAAAAAAAAAAAAAAAAAAAAAAAAAAAAAAAACCACAATACTCGGTATCACCAACACACAAAAGGAAGAAAATTTAATTAACAGACATCTTAGTGTAAGATTATAGCCTCGTTTTCTGTTTTACTTCGTACATAATATATCAATTGAAAGAATATGTTGGTAAATGGAGAGTTGAGATTCAATTCGATTTAATGATTAATAGTCAATTGTAATGTTGAAGGTCTTTGCATTGATAAAAAAATCTCAATGTTGTGCATGTTTGAGTAATGTTTTTTCACATTCAAAGATAGATCAATGAACTTCCAGTTTATAGGCTACTTATCAACAATTTAGTTTTAGGATGGAACATTTGTTATTAGGTTTCTTTCCCTTGTCAACAAACTGGTATAATAGCTAGGATCAGTTGGGCTGTTTGCTCCGTTTGATTGATGTCATCTTTAGTTGGAGGGCTAAACTCTGTATGGTTTGGGTTCCTTGTCTATCCACTTCCGTTTAAGGTACAATCAGGGGGAGATTGTTAGCTGCAAGTGAGATTATTACCTGTCCCACAATGAAAGGATGAAGCAAATAACTTCCATTTATGACCAAGTGGGGCTACTCCTCCCATTGCCAATTGATTAATTGTTTTAAATTGAAACTTCCCTTGGGCTTAGTTAAGTGCTTCTGTCTTTTGTCGGGATCTTGAGGATAACAAAATTTCAGGTTGCTAGATTTTTATTTTTGATCCCGGAAAGAGTTTTAATCAATCCTAATGATAACTAAAGATTACGTTCTAAACAATAAATTTGGGGTATAAGGCACAAATTTATAATATAACAATGGTAGTAATATATGAATCTGTATGAAAAATAATTGGAGGTTGTCCTCAGATTCTCACTTGGTCCACCATTAAATGAGCATTAGTGGTATGATCTTACTAGGGTGTTGGTATGCAGCCATTCTCAATAAAGCCAGACACGGATTGTATGCCTAGGAGTCCTAGCTCTGCAGACATTTGTGGACATCTGAGCATGAGTGTTTTTTCTATTTAGAAAATTGGGAAATAGTGACAGGGCATCAAGCTGTGGAAGATAATGTATTTCTATGTGATTGAGAATTGTTAAGAGGAATTTAAAGAGAAATTACTACTAATATAGTGTAAAAAAATAAAGTTTCAGTTGTTTGAAGTCAGATAAGACTATTATGAATATCTAACATTGGACCTTTTCAAAGGTCCAATTTAGCTCAAATTAATATTGGTGTAGCTGTACTGCGTGCTTCTTGATTTGATATTATATTTTCGGCTCAGTATCTACTTCTTGCAAGTTGAGAAGTATGAGGTGGTAATTTTGCAGACTCAACCAGAGTTTAGGCCGCTGATGTCTGAAGTCGTGCAAGATCTTCAGCACATGTTACAAAGAGGTTCACCCAGCAAGAGTCTGAACAATGAAGACTAAGCCTACAAGTGACGCCTAGAGAAACTTTGATTATGATGGGAAATGTGCTAAGTTTTGATGTCTAATTGGAGGACATGCAGATTTTTGGAATTGATTTAACTGCAGGATTTCAAGCCAACTGCAACATTAGAAGTACAGATAGTTATCATGAAAACTGCAACTGTACATTCCCCATTAGATGCTGCTCTATTTATTCGATGCAGTGGACTACCTGTTGTGACCCCTGCTGCTATGGTATGCCTTCTTCACATCAATAAATTGCCATATATTCGATGATCAACAAGTTGGCGATCCGAGCAATGCAGTGATCTCATTGTTTAAGATTTGACTGGGTAAAAAGTGTACTTAGCCCAATTTGGATGTTATAAGAATTTGTCCATATTGTATTTTTGTTACTATAGTTTTATAACATACCTTGTTCTTATGTTGCAGATTCATTTGACCCCATTCTTTGAATTTTTGAGTGACATTTGTTGTAAGCATCTATTTGGTGTAGCATCGATCTTAACTACTACTTGAGTTATTTCTATCATAAATAATTATCTACTGTGATTTGCCATATCTGCTTCTTCATATTTCTCTTTACTCATCCCTAAAATCTATATGTAATTAAGAACCCTTAAGGGCTCGGAATTATTTACTGTAATTAAGAACCCTTAAGGGCTCGGATGTAATATTATATCTAGATGTAGGATGGAATTCCTCCTCCGGCCCTCCCCATGAAATCTTTACTAAGTTGTTGAAAAAATTTCCTATGAAGGTAATGCTTATCAAAAGATTTGAACTCGAAAGCAGTAAGATATGATTTTAGGTATCTTATCATCTCAATTACGGATTAATTCTCTTATACTCATCAAGACTTAGGATTATGAAGATAATGCTTATTAAAAGGTTTGAACTCAAGAGCACTAAGAAATATATGGCAATTATGACCATTAGACAAGAAATATATGGCCATGGGTACACTTGGGTACACAATTGAGGATTTACATGAGTTAGGATTGCTACCTATTTTTAGGTGATTGACATGAATAACTTAAGCTAAGGGGAGGTTGTGTCGTTGTGGTGTCCTTTGAAAAGGTCTTAATACTCCTCTTGGCTTATGCTACAATGAGTCCTCCTCAGTGCATAGCTCCTATGTGCTAAGTTTGTATATAGGAGGGTAGTGAGGTAAATTCTGTTGGATGAGTCAGGTAAATTAAAGTTTTGTTTTTTTTTTTTTTTACTTGATGACATGTCATTGACCCCGTTCCAATTTAAAATGTAACGGAGTCGTTTTTTGGAGTGAAATGAAAACACATTTCATTGTTTTTGAGGTAAAAATTTTTGGTTCCCTTCTCTGCTTCTCTCTCTCCACTTGATTCTTTCCAAGCTTCTCTCCTTTCGTCTTCATTCCTCGTCCTTTCAAGCTTCTCTCCTTCCAATTGTGCCTGGTTCGTGGGCTGACGCTAGTCGTGGTTAGTCATTGTCGGTCGTTCACCGTTCTTGATTCGTTATTCGCTGACTTTGAAGGTAAGGTTTTAATTCTTTATTTTTATTGTGTTTTGTGATGATTGTATGGAATTATGGATTGAAGTTGCGATGTTGATGTGTTGTTTTTTTTTTCTTGAATTTTGGTAATTTGTTAAATAAAGGTTAGGGTTTGTTTGCGTCAAATAGATAACCTAATAATTGAATGAGGGTACTCTCGTATGGAATTATGGGTTATTTTTGCGATTATGATTTGTTGTGCTGTATAATTTTTGGTCAATTTTGCTAAATGGTTCAAAATTGGGAAATTAGGGTTTGTTTGTGTGCGCAATTGAATTAGGTATGTTGGTTATTTTAGTTCGTTGTTTGAAGGTCGTGATTTTAGGGGTTAATGTTGTGGGTTAAATTATAAAAAACAGGAAAACAATTAAATGTGATACTTTGGTAGACTTGAATTTGCTGAGTTGTTGTAGCAAATTGCTGGTTTGTAGAAAAGTACTTTGGTAAGGAAAACAATTTGCTGGTTTGTAGTAAAGTACTTTGGTAGAATTGAATTTGCTGAGTTGTTGTATAATGTTTGGATAGTAGGTTAGGAGTAATTGTAGAATTTAGCAGCAATAGTTGTATAGTTATAGACACCTAAATATGTCTCCCCAAAACCAAACCCAGTGATGAATGCCTTTCACTTCATTTGATTATCGAACAAAGTGAAAGTGTGGAAAATCAAGTGATGAGGATGTTTTTATTAAAATATTTCTCTTTCTGTTTTCAAAAGTATTCTTTTCTTACTCCTATTTATAAAAATAGCCAATCGAATTTAGTTTGGTCCATAATAAGGGTTCAATAATAGGGTAGTTGGATTCGGCTCAAAAAGACCTTTCCAATTATATATTATAAGCCCAATTTCGATGAATTATGAGGAAGTTATGGATTAAATTAGATGAAGCCCAATGATTTTTTAAGGTGGCCCAATGATCTAAAGGAGGACCTATTAATTATATTTTAAGGATGTTTTATTTAGAATAAAATATATTAAATCTGATTTTGAAAACTGCTCGGAGGCATAATTACCTACAACCGGTGTTAAAGGTAATTACGTGTGGGAAAGCGCGTTGACTTTTGTACCAGCGCGAGACGACAGAGTCGTCGCTAGGCGCTGACCTTCGTCGCCTGGCGACGAGCTTGTCGTCTGGCACCGACTCTTGTCGTTTGCGACAGGAGGTGTTTTATTCTGAATATGATTTTCTTCGATCCCGTGCTATTTTTCATTCGTATCTCCCTGTTTTCAAATTATCTACATCAAGAATAATCATCTCTCTCTCTCTAAAATCTAGAGCTTTCTCTCTCTCTATTCTTTTTCTAAACCTTCCTTTTTACAAAATTCCTCACTCATTAGTTCTAGACACAGCTAGCCAAGTTCGAAGTTGTATTCGCCCTAGACGTGAAAGGTTGATACTTTATGAGGGTTTGGTCCCAAATCGCTATTTTAATTATTTAATTTAATTGTCTGATTTAATATTTTCCTTGAAGTTACTAACGCGTGCACTACGTGAAAAAATGAAATTGGCATCGGTTCAAACTCGGCCTAAGGCACCGGTTTGAACTGGTGCCAATGTGGGGGGGGGGGGGGGTGCCAATAAGTTGTTTAAAAAGGCACCGGTTCAAACCGGTGCCAAAACTCAGAATTATCCCAAAAAAATTTAATTCACTGTTTTTGGCACCGGTTAACCAGTGCCAAAAGTGCCTAAATATTATTATTTTTTTACTTAAAAATTAAATAAACTAAAATTAAATGAGAATACAAAATATAAATTGAACATCACAATCAATATAATCAAATCTGTTCAATATATATATAATCAAAAAAAATTTACAATATAGATCAATAAAAAAATTACAACATGTAAATCAAAATAAAAAAAATTACAACATATAAATAAAAAAAAAATTACAATATAAACCAAAAAAAAAATTTACATTTTCACAATAAAAAAAACCCATACAACATCTAAATCAATATACTTGCATCTAGATTCTTCGATTTAAGATCTAAATCCATATACCTGCACCAATTAAAACAACCAAAATGAATCGATTAACATGATTTAGCTGCGAAAAAAATAAAAAAAACCCAGAAAATCGAAAAAAAAAAATCAGTTCAAAAACCCTAAAAAAAACCACATCAGTTAAAAAGAATTGAACCCAGAAAATCAGTTAAAAAGAAAATCAAAAAATAAAAATATAAAAAAACCCAGAAAAAAAATCGATTAAAATAAAAACCAAAATCGAAAATCAGAAGAAAAAAATCCCAGAAAATAAAATAATTTTGAGAGAAAAAACCCGGAAATTTAAAAAAATTCAAATTAAAATAAGTTAAAAATTGATTAACCAAACCAGAAAATCGAAAATCACTTAAAAAAACAAATTAAAATCGATTATAATAAAAAATAAATTGATTAAAATAAAACAAAATTCAAAAATCCGTTAAAAATCCAGAAAAAAAAATCGAATTAAAATCAAGAAATTAGACCCTAACCTTGCTCATGCATGTGTTCGTGGTGGATTAAACCAAAAAAATTTAGAAGAAACCCATAAAAAATTTCGAAGACACTCATAAAATCAATTAAACCCAAAATCAACTTCGAACAAACCCAAATCAACTTGTATTAACCCAAAATATTCAACTTCAAACAAACCCATAAAAAAACACCCAAAAACGCATGCATTAACCCATTAATCGATTATTGTAACCGAAAATTAACCCAGAAATCGAAAAACAATGAGGAAATCGAGTTACAACATCGAAGTTTGTGGTGTTGATGTTACGGTGGTGGCGGCAGCTTTGCGGTGTTGTTGTTGTTGCAGTGGCGGTGTTGTTGTTGTTGTGTTGTTGTTGTTGTTGTTGTTGTTGTTGTTGTTGTTGTTGTTGTTGTTGCGGAGATGATCGAAGAGAAAGAGAAGAGATTGGGAAGGAGAGATCGAGAAGGAGAGCTATAGGAGAGAAAAGGGAGAGCAGAGGAGAGAAGGGAGAGGAGAGAGTAAAGAGGCGGAGTGAGAGGAGAGAGAAGGACTTGGGGTTTTTTAGGGTTATAAGTAAAGGGTCGGTTTTTTTTTTTAAACAATTAAAAGGTCCGGTTCACAAAGGCACCGGTTCAAACCGGTGGCCTTTATGTTTTTGGCACCGGTTTGAAGTGAACCGGTGCCTTTTATTCTGGTTCAGCTTCCCACCAATTTTGTAGGCCATTTTTGGCACCGGTTTGGACTGATTCGGTGCCAATTAGGGGGTGCCTTTTTGATATTTTCTACTAGTGGTGTATTTTGTTATTAGAAAGAGGTACGAGGCATCGAAGTAAGTGCTTTAATTGTTTTATTGATCTTTTGATATAGAAATCATAGTTAGATTGTTTTATTGATTCCTAGTATCATGTTAGGATGTTTTATTGCTTCCTAGTATCATGTTTAGGGTTAATTAATATTTCTAATATCAAGTATGATTATTATGATGCTTCCTATTTCTTTGCCAATATCATGTTAGTATCATGTTAGGGCTAAAGCTTTGGTCTTTGATGTTTAGTGACATGCTAGGGTTTGTTATTAATCTTGTTATTAGTGTCATGCCTAGGATCTTTCTATTAATATTATGCTTTAACATGATTATTATTATGATAAATGATTATTGATATTATGTTGCTTGATGATTATTATTGTTATTGCTTGATCACGCCTTTTATGCATGTTTAAAGGGAATTTGTACTTGTAATCACACTTAATAAGATAATTATTAATCTTGTTTAGGTTAATATGATTATAATTCAAGTGATCGCCAATAATAATATTGTTTGTGCATTAATATTCAACTGGCAAGGGAATAAACGCGCCGTCAATTGTCTATCCCTAGATCAAATACAATTTATAAAACCTAAACAAACCTAATACGAGTATAAGGCAAGCATAGGGGTCGAACCACAGGGAACAAATAAACACCAGCAAATGTTATCGATAATTAAGCTAGTCCAGAATAAGAGATAAATAAACTAAAGTCTAAAGATGCTAAAACAAGAAATAAAACATTAAGGGAAAAGTTTAGGT